GGTGGCCCGAAGCAGAGGGGCTTCAGTGTTGTCTGCAACCATCACCTAGGCTGGCAGGGCCACCTCTGGTGAAGGTTGCCTGGCCAAGAAGGAGGCCTGGAAAGGAGATGTAGCTCTTGAATGGTGGGAGAAGCAGGTTGTCCCCCAACCTCTCCATCTCACTACCTCTCTTGTTTGCTTCTCTGCACCCCCTGTGAATCTTGGCCACAAGACCCTGTGGGGCTGGATGTAGAGGGGCTCTGGGGGTTCATGGCAGCTGCCTTCCCTCCTCCACCATCTCCATCCCCACCAGCCTTGGTCAGCTGGGACTGATCCAGCACAGCCATACATGGTCTATCCAGTCCTCTGCTGTCCTCCAGCTTTTCACACCAGCATAGGTGAGTGGCTCCTTCTTCTCCAGCCTCCCCAGCCCACATGCCTGCATCTGGTCCCAAACTTACCCTTAGCCCCACTCCTGCCCTGCTCAGCTAAGCCCAAGGGACTCGTCTCCTGCCAGTGTTGTGCTCCTGGACCTTGGTCCCGCAGGTTGAAATGAGCAGGGCCAAACCCCTTGTGCTCCTGGAGCGTGAAGTGTTGCTATGTGACACTGCAGCTCTCCAGGGCTGCTCTGGGGCACAGCTCCTGTAACTCCTTGTTTCCTGGTCCCTGGACAGCTATGTCTCCTTTCACTCCTGCCCTGTCTGCCTTTCCAGCTGTGTCAGCACAGGGATACAGTCACTCCAGGCATGTGCACTCCAATTTTAGCTGCTTCCTGCCAGCCCTGGAAAATGCTTGCTGGTGTTAAATGTGCAAAGGGAGAGCAGAAGGTGGAGAACAGCTACTGTGGTCACCACTTTGTACCCTAACTGGGACCGTTAGCAGCTCGATTTTACACAAATGTTGGCATCCTTTGGGTACTGCTGCCACAGTGCCCTGGCCTGACAGCTTTGCCGGGGGCTCCTGCCCCCCGGGCGGGGTTTCTCTCCGCCGGCGGAGCCCAGCCCAGCTGGTACGCCGCGGCCGCCCTGTCAATGTGCCTTTGTCTAGCCCGGCTGCCGAGCTATTTGAGGAAAGTGGAGACGGCTTTTGTGTTTCTATCTCCCGTCAGAGGTATTTATAGCCTGCCGCTGACTAGCGCTGCCAAGCGCGCTGGCAGCCGGACCCCGCTCCCTCGGGGCGCTGCGGGCCCCGCTCCTCCCCCGCCCTCCCACCGCTGCTGGCAAGTGAAGGTGGGTCCCTCTGTGGGCACCTTCCCCACTTCTCCACCTGCAGGCTGCCTGCAGTCAGCCAGGTTGGGAAGAAAGGGGACAGGGCATCCCCCCCGCACAGCACTTGGTTTGAGGTTGGGGAGAGGCTGGTTTTGCTTTTTTTCTGCCTGTGTTCTCTCATTTCGTAAGCAGATGGGAGAGCTGCAGCGTTTCGGCGTGAAGCATTGGCAGGAGATTCGGTGTTC